GAGGTTGCGGTGAGCCGAGATCGCGCCATTGCACTCCAGCCTGGGTAACATGAGTGAAACTCCGTCTCAAAAAAAAAAAAAAAAAAAAAAAAAATAACCTGGCCAACATGACAAAACCCTATCCCCAGTAAAAATATGAAAATTAGCTGGGCGTGGTGGTAAGCGTCTATAATCTCTGCTACTCAGGAGGCTAAGGCATCAGAGTCACTTGAACCTGGGAGGCAGGGGTTGCAGTGAGCAAGTGTGGCGTCTGCCCCATTGGATTTCTGCAGGGACTGGATTAAGGGACACGCGTGCTGTGCTGTTACAGCAGTGGCTGGGCTGCACTCACCCTCACTATCCTCCCAGACATTTCCCGGCACACCTGGTCTACACCACCTTCCACAGAAGGAAAACTCTGATACCCAAAGACACAAAATGCCAGACCTGCCCAGGCTGGGCTGATCCTTGCATTCAAGCATTTATCCGCAACCCAAGACAAAAGGAATCGCCTTCCACCCACGGGGAAGTCTGAAACTGCAGCGAGGCTGCATGGCTTCTAAGTGCTGCTCCATTCTAACATGACCCGAGGACATCAGGTCTTCTAGTTTAGGTACCAACAGGCACAATAGCCTTCACTGTCTGTCACCTTTGTGCCCAGCTCTAGCCAGAACCTGTGCAAAATGTCATTGTTTTCACCCCCTGGTAAGGAGACATGAGGCCCATCTCCAGCCCGTGTCCTGCTTCAGCAATTCCCAAAAGGAGCTGTTTCTCAGATGCTTCTGCAGAACTGTTTAGGTTATAAGAGAAACCTAATCCTATGTGCTTATCTCAAGGACTGTGCAACCTTACCCAGGGCTTTATGTGACAGATGTTGGCATGAAGGCCTCGAACACACAGTTGAAGAACTAGGCTGTTCCTCCCTTTGAACCTCCTCCCTACCTAAACAGACTCAGCTCTGGCCAAAAGACCCAGCTTGCACAACCGGCTCTAGACTCCCATCAAAGTCATCAGCCACTATGGTCTACACCTTAGGGATAAGCAAATCCCACCTTGGATACAAATCTTGGTTTAGACTGCCCTCCTCCCCCAGATTTTACAGGGAAGGTAAAGACCAGCATGGGGTGGGTGGTTGCGGTTTCACTTGGTTACTGCGCCAAAAGGAAATACACACATCTAAGTATTCACTACAAAATAATTTATTCGAACACACAGCTACAGCGAGACTCGTATGTACAAGCACCTTGCGCTCCTGACTACCCTCAACTAGGGGACCCTTTTCTTCCCCCTTGCCTTGCGGACCTCTTCTATCAAATCTTTCAGGTATTGGATCTCCTTGGCCAGGGAATCTGCCCTCTCTTTTAGAGCCTCATTCTTCTTTTCCAGCTCCTTGCACTCACCAGTGAGGGCCTCCTGCTCCGCCCTCTTCTTCTGGCGGTACCTAGTGGCTGCTGTCTTGTTTTGCTCCATTTTTTTCAGTTTCTTATCCAGTTTCTCACCCTTTACTTTTGCTGCTACCATTTTCTCTCCAGGAGGGTCGTAAGGTTTGGGGCGGGCAGAGTCACAGAGGACACCTGGAGATGGGAGGCTCCTATTTGGGGAGCCCCTAGCAGAGGGGCTATGCTGGGGAGAGCCCAGATAGGACTCTGGGCTCATACAGATGCCACTATCATTATCTGAGGGGGCGTCTTCCTCCTTTATGCACTGCGGGATCATGGCAATGTAAGCAGTGGAATCTGGCTTCCTATCTCCTTCAGAGATATCCACTTCACTGCCCAGCTCTAAACTAAAGGAATGATCTGGAGTGGTGGAGAGGACCCCTGGGGATAGGGGAAGAGGTTGCAAGAAGGTGAAAGGGGCAACCTGGTCGGGTTTTGTTAAACTTTCTGGGAGATGGCCAATTGGGTTCACCGCCTGGGGGGGCTCCTTATTAGTCTCCTGGACTAGGGGGGCAAAGAGATCACACGTGTCGTCCAACGTGGCCAAAAGCTCATCTGTCATGGTTTCCAGGTCACCTACACGCAACAAGGCATCAAAGTCAAACTCGTTCAGATCCATTTTCTCCAACATCCAATCTGTCCCGGAGAAAGCATCCTCTGCAAAAGATATGAGTGATGGCCTCAGTGAGTCAGGCACAAGGTAGCAAGCCCCTAACCCCACATCCCACCCGGACGATGTAGCTGGTGGCAGCCTACTCACCCTTGCCGTTGTTGGGGGCACTGACCAACCCATCCACAGCCAGCCATTCGGAGGAGCCCGCCTTAGCCTTGTCGCTGGAGAACCCATGAGGTTTGAAATGCTTGGCCACCTCCAGGTAGTCATCTAAGAGACCTAGGCTTTCCTCAGCCCCCAAACCCGACTGGTCGAAGGGGGACATCAAGTCCCCCTCCAACACCTCGCTGCTCAGGAAGCTCATCTCGGTCATGTTGCGGTGCTTTGCTGGAATCGAGGAATGTGCTTAATTCGAAGGTGTCTTTGTCGCTTACAGCAACGCTGCTGCTGAATGCCGTGAGAAGCCTGAATAAGAATCAGAAGCCAAGTCCCATTAGAGGTTAGCCGATGTGAGAATTTCATCTTTCTACTTTAAGAGGCGGGACGGCTAAACCGGCCATCTAGAGACTCTAACAGGGCAGATGTATCTCCCCCGCCGCCCCCCCGCGCGCGCTTCCAGCTCAGGTTCCACAAAATGGACGATCACGGAGGCCCGGCCATTCCTTCACCGGCCAAGAGGAAGGCGGTCCGCCTCCGCGTCCAAATACGGCCTGGGAGGCCACGCCCCGCCCGCCGCCCGCCCGTGACTCACGCTTGCGGCGCCGCCCTGCGGCCGCCATCTTGGCTTCTGCCACGTTTCGTGGGTGGGACATTTGAGACCCTCAGGACCCTTGGGGAGACGTCTCGGGGTACGAGGGCGGTGGGACCCCTGGGGAAGCAGTCCCGGCATCTAGCTGCGCTTTCCCGGTACCGGGCACGCGAGCGTCTCGGAGAAACCCAAGCAGAGACCACGCGTCCTTGGCGCTCGTAAAATCGCTTCCCCTTTGGCGGCACCATCCCGGCCCCATGCCGCGCCCCGCCTGCCCAAAACCCTCCCCGACCCAGGGAGCACTGCTGGCTCGCCCGCCCCGGTACTCACGCCATGGCTTAAGCCGCTGGGGGGTGCCGCTGCAGAGCCTGGTGCTACTGCCGCCGCTGCAAAGGCCAATGCTGCCGCAGGCACTGCTGCCCCTAATACGCCATGGTGGCCTTAGACCCTGCGGGCGGGGAGGAGGGAAGGCGCGCACGTGCGAAACGAACTACATCTATGAGCCAGTGAAGTAGAAATGGCCGCGACTGCCGCCAGCCGCCCTTTATAGACTTCGCCTCAGCGGGGACGCAGCACAAACTTATCCTTCCGCCGCGGCCACGTGACCATCTCCTCCCGCCCGCTAGGTTCCCTCTGACGCCCCCACCACCTATGTCCGGGGCGCAGCTGTGACAAGAAAAGGAGTTTGTTTCTATGGCCTCACGAAAGGAGAGAGGTGCACTACTTTATTAGCTTCTATGATCAAAGAGTCCGTACTTACCTTTGCTGCCAGAGCGCGGAGTGATCTCTCAGACGCGCCTCGCTTCCGGTGTCGGCGCAGTGGGCGGGGAGAGGTGGTTTTCCCACAGGGGGTTTTCATTGTGAAGGCCGAGGCAGCCAGGTTATCGCGCGAGGTGCTGACGTAGAGCGCGCGTCGAGCTCATTGGCCCAGGCGCGGTGAATCATATATACCTCGAGCCCCTATTGGCTCAGGGTCCTAGGTGGGTGGCTGCTGCGAGACGGAGCCCAGGGCTCGCGCGGGAAGGGCCAGGGTTCGGGGTTGTCTGCTCTGTCTCAGCCCCGCCCGCCTGCTGGCCCGCCACGATCGCGCCGACTTCTGCCCCCAGGCGGCCTTAGTGCGGTGCCACCCATAGTGGCCTAAGGCCTGGCCGCAGCGGTCGGTCCCGCCGCCCTCAGTGGAGGTCCGCACTAGCGGCCTCGCCGCCGCTCCCAGCCTGCGCGCTCCTTCGGTGCAGGCTGCGCTGATTTCTGGCCTGCGGAAGCGGCGGGGTTACCTGCACCAAGCCTGAGTCTTCCAGAGACCCCATCCATAGCCGACATGGTGCTGTCCCCGGGAGGCTGAAGGGGTCTTAAGAGGGCGCCCCGTCCCCGCCCACCTGCCCGCAAAGGCCGGCTGAGTCTGCATGGCTCCTCCTAAACTCTGGAAAGGAGTCGGGAAGACGCGCCATCCTGTCGCCCAACCTGGGTTTTTACAATTCTCATCCGGCTCAAGTGCAAGGCTGCTATGGAATAGCATCAGAGGGGAACTTCTGGTGGCCTCAGGTTCCGTTCTGTTCCCCTAGGAACAGGATTTTCTTCGCTGCCGTCTCTCTGGGGTAGTTTCGATTCACTCCGGATTCTGAACTCCCCAGCCTAACCTGCTTTTCAGCAGTCACGTTCATGGCCCTGGGAGGAGAGGCGCCTGGGAACCCACGGCCACTTGGCTGGGGGTTGTGCGTTGGGAAGGTGTAGTCTGTTTTAAGAATACAAGAAACCTCACCATAGTCCCTCAGCTCCCTCCAGTCAGGCACCGCGAAGGTGGAAACCTTCCGCCTTCACTTCACTGAGCCACACAAGTATTTCTATGAGGGCTGTGATATCAAAAAACCGGGGAAGCACTGCTCTAAATAACCACAGGCCATCTGCTGCGATCATTCAACCTCGCCCAAGAAGTCCTTCCTAATGGTAAACGGAGGCCCAAAGGGATGAAGCTTCTTGCTCAAAGTCACGCAGCTACCAGTGGAAGGAGTATGGGGTAGGAGTTGGAAGACATTTTGGGGAGCACACGCAAAAAAATCCTGGCTGGGACATTTTGGCTGACTTATCCTCTCTCAGCCTCAGTTTCTGATGAGTCTCCTTGCCCCATGAAGTGAAATCATACATGTAAAGCACTTAGCACAGCACCTGTTACATGTAACCAATAACGGTTGCTGTTGCTGCTACCGGACATAGAACTCAGGTTTCGGCCGGGCGCGGTGGCTCACGCCTGTAATCCCAGCACTTTGGGAGGCCGAGGCGGGTGGATCACGAGGTCAAGAGATCGAGACCATCCTGGTCAACACGGTGAAACCCCGTTTCTGCTAAAAACTACAAAAAATTAGCTGGGCATGGTGGCGCGTGCCTGTAGTCCCAGCTACTCAGGAGGCTGAGGCAGGAGAATTGCCTGAACCCAGGAGGCGGAGGTTGCGGTGAGCCGAGATCGCGCCATTGCACTCCAGCCTGGGTAACGAGAGCAAAACTCCGTCTCAAAACAGGAAAAAAAAAAAAAAAAAAGATGTAAAAAAAAAAAAGAACTCAGGTTTCCTTACCCTGACCTCTGTCACTATCTTCATCACATCCTCCTGGTGCCTCAGAGGACCCTTCACTATTATTTACTGAGATGAAACCAACAACTTTAAAACAACCAGTATACACAGGCATACTGGATGCTGGAATGAAAGTATGGTTTTTCTTTCTCCTTGGGGAATCATGAGTGTTGAGATACACAGAAGCTGGTTCCAGAGCAATGGCTCCAGCCTGTAGTCCTAGCTACTCAGGCTGAGGTGGGAGGATTGCTTGAGCCCAGAGTTCCAAGCTGCAGTGAGCTGTGATTGTAACACTGGAACTCAGCCTGCGCAACAGAGCAAGACCCTGTCTTAAAAAAAAAAAAAAGGAAATTGTCTAGCTTTTTCAAGCAAATGCTGTAAGAATCCCTGAGCTATTAACCACATCTTCCAAAGGCAGATCTAGGGAGCCACAGGACATCAAGACATGCCTGCAATCCCAGCACTTTGGGAGGTGGAGGCAGGAGGATTGCCTGAGGTTGAGTGTTCCAGACCAGCCTGGCCAGCATGGTGAAACAGCCGTCTCTACTTAAAAAAAAAAAAATACAAAAACTAGCTGAGCGTGGTGGCAGGCACCTGTAATCTCAGCTACTCGGGAAGCTGAAGCAGAATTGCTTGAACCCAGGAGGCAGAGGTTGCAGCGAGCAGAGATCGCACCTTTGCTCTCCAGCCTGGGCAACACAGTGAGACTCGTCTCAAGGGAAAAAAGCCTACCTCCTGATGGATGATCGTGCAGATGGTTAAGAATTACAGTAACAGCTGGGCGCGGTGGCTCAAGCCTGTAATCCCAGCACTTTGGGAGGCCGAGGCGGGTGGATCACGAGGTCAAGGGATCGAGACCATCCTGGTCAACATGGTGAAACCCCATCTCTACTAAAACTACAAAAAATTAGCTGGGCATGGTGGTGCATGCCTGTAATCGCAGCTACTCAGGAGGCTGAGGCAGGCGAATTGCCTGAACCCAGGAGGCGGAGGTTGCGGTGAGCCGAGATCGCGCCATTGCACTCCAGCCTGGGTAACATGAGTGAAACTCCGTCTCAAAAAAAAAAAAAAAAAGAATTACAGTAACACTGCCCCAGTTTTGACACTGAAAAGGTCGTGGAAGAATGACTCCAGTGGCAGTTTGTCCCATACATTCACTTATAGAGACCTAGCTCAAACACTTCAAAGGTTTCCCCTAGCTGAAAATGGAGACCCAGTACCACTCCCACAGGAAAATGTTTGATCCGCCACACACAAGTCAAAGCTGTTGGAAAGATTTTTATTTTCTTCTTCCCATGCTATGGAAGGACATTGTGTTCCCCAGTTTCATTTCCTCCCTCAGGGAGAAAAAGGACAGCAGGTCTCTGGGTCTCAGGGCTAAGTTGACTCTACCTATATAGACTTAGCCAAGACAGGACGGAAAGACTGGTGACTGATTCCAAATCTACCAGCTAACACATCGACCACCACTGACGGGCAGGCAAGTGACTAGAAGGCAAGTTGTGGACTTGGCCTCAGGAACCAAGAATTTAAAGACTACAGGTGACCAAAATGTAAAGATCACACCTCGTGTGCAGCTGACCACAGACCCCACATCTCTGGTATTTTGGCCACTTACAGTAAGTGAGATCTAAAAGGGATACAGCCTCGAGCCTGGTGCAGAGGTCAGCTGTATCCTAAGTCTCCTATAAGTCTCCTTGGCCTTGAGCTTCAGATAAAAGGGCAGAGTTCTAACAAATCCCAGCCTTAAGTTCTCAGCCAGGTCAGAGTCCCAAGGAATCACCATGGCAGAGAGCTCTGGACATACACAGTAGTCTCTATTTACAGAAACCCCCTTGGGAACTCTCCTGGGTCATTCAATCCTGAAGCTGATTCCCCTTCAAGACTATTTGAACTCTCAACCTGAGTGGAGTGCAGGGAGCACAGTCAGCAAGTGTGGAATATGGACAGGTGGCCCACCAGGGCCAGGACCCAGGTGACTGAAGGCAGGCCTCTGCGACACTTTTTTCAACTTGAGCTTCAACATTTCTTTCCTTTATTTAAATAAAATTTAAAGTCACAGCCAAGCATGTAAAGAAAAAAGTACTGTCGTCCTGAACTCATTTTTTAGGAAGGGCAACAGAGGAGAAGCAAAATAAACTCTGGAATTGATTAGGTTTAAGATGAGTGCATTTTTTAAGTGTTAGGCTAAGTATAAGATTTGCTAACCTTGATGGCACACACACAAAAATCTCTAGATGGAGAAGTAGGAGAAGATGCTATTACTTCAGGCAAAAGTAAGTTACTGAACAGGAAGGCAAAGTATCAGGGAAAGTTACTCAGCTTTCCCCAAAGATTTAAAAAAGGGGGCAGGTGCAGAATGTTGTTCTCTTCCATCCCAGAATCTGAAAAGCAACTGCGTACGTTCCACATTTTATAACGAGGAAGATGGCAGCAAAAAGAATGGCTTGCCCAGTCATGGTCAGCAAACCCACCAGGACCAGGGCTGAGAGTTCCCACTGCTTCTAGTTCTGAGGTCTTCTTAAGAGGTTGTTGCTAGTAAAATGGCAAAGTTATGGTTTTATCAAACAGTTGAAAGAGATGCTGTTTCAGAAAGATGATAAACTCATTTGCTTTCCTAAAATGACAGTTATATTCGACTTAAGTAACTTAAGACTCTTTAAAATCTTATTTTTTTGAGTTCTCTTTCCAATTTTTTTTTCTTTGAAACAGGATCTCGTTCTGTCACCCAGGCTGGTGTGCAGTGGCACAATCTTGGCTCACTGCAACCTCCACCTCCCAGGTTTAAGTGATTCTCCTGCCTCAGCCTCCCAAGTAGCTGGGATTACAGGCGCCTGCCACCACACCGGGCTAATTTTTTTCTTTTTAGTAGAGACGGTTTTGCCATGTTGGCCAGGATGGTCTCAAACTCCTGACCTCAAGTGATCCACCCACCTTGGCCTCCCCAAGGTGCTGGGATTACAAGCATGAGCCACTGAGCCCAGCCTCCTTCCAATGTTTTATGTGGTATTTGGTCAGATATGCCAGCTTGGGAAAACTAAGTTTTTAAAATACTCATGGCAGGGAAACCAAATCATTTATCTCAATGAATAATAATCTATACTTCTGCAATACTCTGTCAGTCCTCTCCTCTCCCTGCCAATGGATACATGATGGGTACACTGGAAGCCTCAAAGTCAGGCTTTACCCCATACCTTCTAAAGCATTCATCCAGGGTGGTACTCAGGCATACAGACTTTTTTTAAAACTGCCCTTTGAGTCTGACCAACAGACAGGATAGAGCTCTCTCAAGGTTCTCAGCTTTATCATTTTTGTTCCCTCTCAATACCTTTATGCAAACGAAATTGAACCACCATTAAGTAATCCTTGTTAAGGGGAAAAGAGGCAAGAAGACCTCTAAATATAGTCAAGGTTAACCCTAGTTCTCAACTTCCTAATCTGTGACAAGAGGGGCAGGAATCTCTACCCTAAATTCAGAGGGGTGCTGAGGTATCAATGCTAGTCATTTCCTATTCCTATCATTGAGAAGGAATGAGACAGCTGCAGAGAGCTTCACCAGAACCTCACTGATGGAGAGGTAGTAATAGAAAAAAACCAACTTGACAGGAGGAAAACAAATACTAAATGGGCAGATGAGACACAGCATCAGTCTTGCCACAAACAAGGAAAAACACATAACAAAGGGACATGGTGTATTAAACATTCCCCCCACCTGCAGGATCCATTTACCTTGCAAAAAAGACTGCATCTTAGCAGCGGGAAACAAGGAGGAATGGAGGAAGTGCCCACCTCCCTCCCCTATGTCTCATCTGTGTGCTCTCTTCCTTGGTAGCACCGATCTCCCCAGGTGCTGGGTGAGAAATAGGACAAGGGAAAGAGGTCTGCGCATGCTCACCTGCCCTCTGGCCATGCCCGGAGAGCTCAGCAAACACCCCTGTCACGTTCCAGTCACAGATACTGGAGGATGAGGGGCCAGTGCTGGGCCTGTTCCTGCTCTAAGGCCACATCCTAGAAAAGCAGGGTCTGTCTGGGGAGAAAACATGGCCACCAAATGCTGACTAGTGACTGGATTTTCCAGCTGACATTCAGCCTCCTGTCAGCCTCCCTCATCCTCAACTGATGGCTAAGGCTGTGTTCCTTCAAGGCCTTGTCCTAACTGGCAATAAAAGGAGAAGGGGTGAAAACCAGCATTCATGAAGAGGTGCTGCCCTGGCAGCCCCATCCTTGTCTGTCCGACCCCTGCAGCCACAGATGAGGAGCACACACGGGGCACACAAACGCTCCATGAGGCCCTTAACCAGCTCTGCTTCCCTACTCTGCACTTTTGCTGACAGCCACCAAGAAATTCAATCTGCAAATAACTTTGCATCCAGTTTATCCTGTGTGGGTCATGAACAGTGTTCCCATGAGAGACACTCTCGGCATTTATGAATGGGTCAGGAAATGGTGGGAGGATGGACTTCTTTTCCAGGAACTGGGGTCAAAGGCCAGCTTTTCTACCAGCCTCACTCCCAGAAACCCTAAATACTGTCTCAGCGCTCACTCTGCAGAGTTCAGCTTTGAAACATGCAATCACAGCTCTTCAGTGACATTCAACTAAAAGGCAACATCTTAATTAGGCAGATATGCTCCAGGGACAAGAGCAAAACAGAAGGCGTGAACGAGAGAGGAAAAGATAGAAAAGACACGTAGCGGGAACAGGCAAACAGGCAAGGCAGGCCAGACAGAGGCAGCAAACATGGGCCAACACGCAAAACACCAAGTGGTCCATCAGCTCAGGCCAGCACTCCACCTTCTCAATTCATTTCAGAAAAATTAGCCTGGAGCCAGGGAGGAGTAGGGAGCACAGTGATTGGTAACGAAAATAGAAGGAGTTGGGTAAGAAAACAAGAGACAGAAGAGATGTCATTCTAATGGGCATGAAGTGACCAGGGTGATGATCAGCAAGACAGGAGGCACCAGGGACCCTGTGAGGCACCAACTACGTAGCCAAGTATATCTAATGGAGAATCCAGGGCCTGACCACCAACACCTGCTTTGACCTTCACCTGCCCTACGTCTGCAGCAGCACCTCTGGCTCAGACAATGAGCAATAGAGAGTATATCCTAGTTCGTCTATTTCTTCAGGGGTGAGCTCTGCAAATAAGTTCAC